TATCTACATGACGGCAAATGATCTGGCGCATTTTTTGTTTTAGGCAGGGCCCAGCTATGTTGCATGGTGTCATTACAGTTCGACCGTTGTCTCCACGGCGGGCCGCCGTGTGCCCCACGGCATGGTTGGGTCAGAGCCAGGGACTTGTGCGTTAATTAGATCATAATGAGGGTAGATTTGCGCTGCATCTACCGCATTCGCTTCCAGTCCCCGGTGTCATGACCAGGTCAAGAAGACCGGACTTGCCAGATGGCGTAGGTGGATGGTGCGGTCAGAGCCACCCCTAAGCATACTCCCATATATGGTTTTGATCCGAGCGACTGAACGTGCCCTAGAGCCCACATTAAAAGGAGCCTTTGTAGCCCGTCTCTCAGGCAACCAGTCGGCCACTCACACAGGCACACACTGGTCTGACTGGGTGGTCCGAGTTATCCCATCAATTGGTGACCTTCCAATCCCTGGCTTTTAGCCCACCGTGATAGCTTTGAGCGCGTTATATTTTTTATGGTGATGAAAATGCGCCGACCCTCTCACGCTCTATTCCCATTCCCAGGCTCCAGCCACCGAAAGAGTGTTGTCATCAACAACCGGTATTCCCAGCTGGTCACCTATGCAAGTACTAACCGAGCCCATCCTAGTTTAGGGTTCGGTTCTAAGGCGAGAAACGGTGTTTTATAGGTGCTGTGGTCGTATGGTTTCATAAGGAGCAATGAAAGTTAAAAGCGACTGCTCAATCTTCCTGCAGCAGAACTGCCATATAAATTCTCTCAGTTTCCTTGAATCAGTCACAATTCCGTTCAAAAAGCAAGATGTTTTGACGTTGCTATGTGTAACTCTGTGTCACGCATAATTCCATCGTCTCTTTTTGGCAGATTGAGACAAGTCGTCAAACGCAAAAGTCGCTTCATTATTGAGCATCAATGTTTTCAGACAAGAATGTGTACTCAGCCCTATGAAACACACACTTTCCGGATGCACATTATGTACTTTGGTCAAACCTAACCAGGCCTCACACATGCCCTTTTGAGGAAGCTCTAAACACTCAATTTGCAATACTATGGCTGCTACCTCATCGAAAACACGATTACAGATTTAATTGGCAGCGAAAGTTAGTTTCGGAAACGAACCATTTTCGTTCATACTCTTTCAGCCGATGTGTTGTGAGTTTAAGCTTCCAAAAGGCCATTAGGGTCTTTCATTAAACGAGTGTTATGCGGTTAGTTGGCTAGTCATACACTGGAAAAAAGCGCCCATATAATACAGAGAGCCTTATTCATAATTCCAGGCATGGTAAGCATGTGTGTATCCTAATTCTAACATTAAAACTAACTCGTTACCTAGGTATATCCCTTATCCTACGCCTAACCCTTATCCTAACTTAACCTTGCTCTCCTTCTCAGCTAAAACTTTCACTAGAAATGAATGCAAGAGCCCCAGAATATATGGGGTTCCTACTAATGTGTTCTGTCACTTTTATTACCTTTCTCGGCAAAGGTCTTTTAACTAGTGCATCTCATATACCCCCAGTCCCCGCATTTTATCCTACGGAAATGGTGGTTATAGGAGTTTTGGGGGTGAGTAAATAGGATACGCGGAGAAGGAAGTTTGTAGAAGTGTAAAGAGGCGAAATGTAATTGAATTTGTTGCCCGCGGCTGCTGGGAGTAAGCTCTTCCGCATGTTAATTGAAGGAGTGCGTGGCGCTTCGCGCCGCGAGCTGTACTAAGCTTACTCCAGAATGGTAACTTTGGCCTTATTTAAGGTGAAGTAGACGACCTCCTAACCTGCCTTTCTATTTTTTAGGAATTTCAAGAAACCTGCATTTTGATACTCGCGGTTTTCCGCAATACGTTAAACTATAATACAGATTAGGAAATTCTACAGATATAACTCAACAACATTTCTAAGTACAGCAAAATAAAAATGCATAGAACAGTTATTAAAGTATATTCTTCTGCCTATCCTAATTCCCCACCCATAAACTCCCTATAATCATCGCTTCCATAGAATAAATGCTGGGACTAGGGGTATATGAGGTGCACTACTTAAACTACTGTTGTCCTTTTCTCTTTAATATGTCTTTAAAACCGCTTTTTATTCTAGCCGGCTGCCTACAGTTAGCAGAACACACCCGCGTAGTGAAAAGTGAAACTTGGTACGAGTAGGCATCACAAGCCTAAAGAGAAAAAATAGTTCGCAGAGAAATAGGCTCTTCTTACTCAGCCTTTAATGGAAGAGCAGTCTGTAAATAGCGTCATAAACAGCAACAAAATATATGTAATGTGGGGTACAGGCTCCTCCAGTTCTGACGAAAAGTACTTTCGAAGGGTCACCTTTTGCAGGACTGTAAATACAAAATTGGCAGGAGACAAATGATGCTTGTAGTACAGAACAAAATGTATTCTTATTCACGCAGGTCTATTGCTTCCTGCAGGCCAGCATTCAGTAGCCCTTTCGACGCACCATTGCAAAGTGTGTCGTCTCCCAGATATTGCGACTTTTTGCTCCCCGCTGCAGCGTTCCCGTAAGGATGTAGCCGGCATGAAAGTCCCTCTGTGAGACATTGCTGGTTAGGAAAATACAGAAGTCAGGGTTGCCCTGTGTGCCCTCCACATCGTCCTTGAACTTGCCAGTGACGAACAGTGCACCGTCATTTTTTGTACACATGACTTTTCCACGCGTTCTAAAGGTTCGAGTCGCACCGCAAAACTTGAGAGAAGGGAAAGCAAAAGTACGCTCAATTTTGTTAGGTAGTCATCTTCAATAATGTAGAACGAGCAGGTGAAAAGACAAGGCTTTATGCAGGGTCCGCCGGATGAGAAGTTATGAGGGTATCGCTCCTTTACTAGTTGTTTTAATTGAGACTTTTGGCTGGAAACGTGGTTAGAGAACGTTTAAACAAGTCTTAAATAGCCAGTAGTTTAAGACCTCCCAGCATCCTTGCCGTTTCTTCGCCGTTGACTTTTATTCTGGATGTATTGGCTTTTACTGTTGATTTTAATTGAACTCATGCGGAATTATACTGAATTCACTTTTCATTAAACCTCATTCGTTTTTTGGCGAAAATACTATAATTCCACTCGAAAGTATGTAAACATATTCAGAAAAACAATAAACTATAAACTTTAACTGAAAACATGCTGAGAATCCTTTTATCTTGTCTCAAAGAAAAAAGTTGTAGGACTCCGGAAAACATAAAGGATGACCTTAGAAACATATTTCATTTTCTAACGAAACATTGTCCGTTGTTTTTTGCGTGCCGATATTCTATAAGACGCTAATTAAACGCATGTAAATATCCGCTTGCAGACAAAAATCTGTTCACGATTTTACTACCGTCCTTGCAGCACCCAAACTCAAACGATCTTGTTATCACACATATTTGAAACCAATATATTTAAAATGGAACTCGCGCTATAAAAATTGTGAAACCTGACTTTCATTCCAATACTCCAACAACCCATTATTTCATATATTTTTCAGTCATATCGTTAGCTTTTGTTCATTGTCTCTCGTCAACAGACTACATCTGCATCCTTGAAACCTTCTGGTGCATTTAAAATTGTTTAAGCCACTGGGCATTCTAAAGACTTGGTGATACTTCCATTATATGCTTCTTGATCAAACCAGTTACTCTACTGAACGCCGACTACTCTACAAGGCAAAACGCTAAACCCACATAGGATATAACATTTACTTCCTCCGAGACAATTATACGAAGAAGCCACATTGTGCATTACTTTTTCCACTTTTCTTTTATTTCAGTAGGCAAGGCGATGAAAAGTTGACATTGAATTTATAAATGCTCTAAAGGGATTTACTGAGAATAATAATGGTTGCCCTCAAGAGAGTCTAGAGAATGAGTTTCTAATCACCTATTAAACCAACCTTGACAACGGTACAAAAGCGGCAGGTGAACCAAGGGAAGCGCAATTCCCACCGTGTGCATGGCACGGTTGTGGTTACTCCCTCAAGAGCATACAGCTCAACAACGATGCGGCGGTCATTCACTTGAATTAATTGATCACAGCGCTGCCCGAGGTGTTCATAATAGAAGAGTTGAACCATTGGACCGAAACTAAAAGGAAAAAGACGAGAAGGCGTGCTGAATAAAAATGACAGGTAATTTAAGGTCCTAACAAGATGTGGGGACTAGCCGAGGTAACTCGCAATCTATAGCTTTATGAACTTAATTTCCTAAATAATCTAAGCACGTACTCATT